GATGGTCAATTCAAATTCCTTTCAAAGTGCTTCAAGGCTTGAATTACTTTTTTCAATTACAAATTACCAAGTACTTTTCTAAAGTAATTGACTTTGCAAGCCCCAATTACAAATCTATAAAAGGGCTTGAAGCACAGGGCTTTCAAGTCCTCAAAGTGCTTTAAGCACTTTCGCAAGCACAAAGCACTCAAGCCCTGCCCAGCTCTGGAAGAGACCTCATGTAATAAGTAAACATAAACATAATATGATATACTTATTTAAAAAAAATAAAGTTACTTTTTTCTTTTATTCTCGTACTATCTTAACGATAGCCTAAAATTAATTGTTTATCATTGATCCTTAATCATTTTGACTATATAATTTGAGAAGGGAGGCGCCAGAATGGAACTTTGCCTCGGCATATAATAGCTATTGGACCGGCCCTGGATCAACGTTAAATTGTTGTGAATAAAAGCTGTCATTCTTTTTTTAATAAGTTTTTCAATGATTTTAGAAAAAACAGTTATGACTGAGATCGGTCTATAGTTATTCATGTCGTCAGTACTGCCCGATTTAAATATAGGACTTATCCTACTAATTTTTAATTCTGCTGGAAAAATTCCACCTATAAATACGTCATTTATTAATCGGGTAAGGATAGGTAAAATAAGTTCTTTAAGATTAAGTATATCCAGTACTGTGACTTCATCAAAACCCGGGGCAGAATTCCTTTTAAGTTCCAGGATAGTTTCACTCAACTCCCTTACTATTTTTTCACCAACACAAGAAAAATGATAATTCAATGCATTTACAATATCTATTTTCTGCTCGACCTTTTGCCTATTTACAGTTAAGAAGTCAATATTGCTATTTTTACTTTGTTTATTAAAAAACCCATTTATAAACACCCATTGCTTTTTAACATTATTACCTGCCCTGTTCCATTGTGAACTAAAATATCGGTTTTTTGCAGCTTTAATTTTATTATTTACCTGATTTTTTAGTCTTAGTCTAGGAAAATAGTCGAAAAATACAGGAATTGCAAAAAAAAAAATTCCTACCCAAATGAACTTTTCAGGGATGATAGGGGGCGGGTGGGTGATCATAAAAACGAAAATATCAAACATTAACCCCTCTGGCGTTTTGCGCTATAGGGGTTGAAAGTGCGCCATTGGCGATTACTTGGTACCTTTTGATTTTACAAGAAAATGTTTCAAATAAAAGATGTGCAACATTATTTGATCTACAATGTTTATCTGAAGACTTTTTCGATTAAGGGCCGTCTGTGGTCATAAGGGCCGTTTGAAATTTTATTATGAAAATAAAATATTGTAACCAACGTGAAAAAATTTTCTACAACACATACAACATTTTTACTTTATGAAGTTTTTACTCACCCCCTGCCGTTTTTCAATAGGGGTAGTTTAAAGTTTTTTTATTTTTCTACAAAAAAATTTTCTTAATAAAAGTTTTATAAGATTACATTTCCTACAATTTTTCCCCATAAACTTTTTTTATGACTCACCCCCATTCAGCGGGGGGACACTTCCCTTAGGAAAATTTTAGTTTTTAGGGGTATATATTAATATTTTTTTTCTTTTCTCGCCTTTAGTGTATATAAAAAGTTGCAATTAACATTGTATTGAAAGGATTTTTTTTCCCACCACCTTTTTGTTTTTAGGGGTAGTTCGCCTATTTTCAACTTTACAAAAAAATTTTATTAAGAATACTTGTTCATTTTATTATTTTGAGCACCTTTTCTTAATAATTTTTTTTTGTAAAGTTGAAAATAGGCGAACTACCCCTAAAAACAAAAAAATGGTAGGAAAAAAAATCCTTTCAATACAATGTTAATTGCAACTTTTTATATACACTAAAGGCGAGAAAAGAAAACAAAAATTAATATATACCCCTAAAAACTAAAATTTTCCTAAGGGAAGTGTCCCCCCGCTGAATGCGGGTGAGTTATAAAAAAAGTTTATGGGGAAAAATTGTAGGCAATGTAATCTTATAAAACTTTTATTAAGAAAATTTTTTTGTAGAAAAATAAAAAAACTTTAAACTACCCCTATTGAAAAACGGCAGGGGGTGAGTAAAAACTTCATAAAGCAAAAATGTTATATGTGTTGTAGACATTTTTTTCACGTTGGTTACAATTTTTCATTTTCATTATAAAATTTCAAACGGCCCTTATGACCACAATAGAGGGTGTAGAGCTGTGTGCACGTTGAGGAGTAATGAAGAATGAAAAAGTTTTGTATTTCGTGCAAAATTCTTTAATAAATATCAGTGCAAAGCGCTTTCGGCCGTGGCCATCATCAGTGCAACCTGAAAGTAAGGAAAAACACTTTCTTCAGAAAGTGTTTTTCCTTACTTTCAGGTTGCACTGATGATGGCCACGGCCGAAAGCGCTTTGCACTGATATTTATTAAAGAATTTTGCACGAAATACAAAACTTTTTCATTCTTCATTACTTCTTATGACCACAGACGGCCCTTAATCAAAAAAGTCTTTAGATAAACATTGTAGATCAAATAATGTTGCACATCTTTTATTTGAAACATTTTTTTGTAAAATCAAAAGGTACCAAGTAATCGCCAATGGCGCACTTTCAACCTCTATAGCGCAAAACGCCAGATGGGTGAATGTTTGATATTTTCGGTTTTATGATCACCCGCCCGCCCCCTATCATCCCTGAAAAGTTCATTTGGGTAGGAATTTTTTTTTTTGAAAATCGACAATTTTCCTAGACTATCTGTTAAACTCAAGAATAAATTGATTATTATTTGGATGTTTTATTTTCCTTAAATATGCACTATCACGTAATTTCATTAAATCCAATAAGTATATCTTGGTTTATCCAATCATTACCTTTTTTCATTCGAATATTTCTACTATATTGGGAATTAATTTTTGAAAGCCCAATTAGTCGGAAATCTGAAACAGTAACAAGTTATGATCAGAGAGAGGGTTTTCTTTTACTTTTAAATTATTTACTAAATTAGAGTGATAGCTAGACATAACATGATCAATCAAAGTTTTAGTATTGGCCGTTACCCGTGTTGCATTTTCCAAAGATAAAACATTATTAATTTTAAAATTACATAGTGTTAACAGATCTTTATAATTTTTAGTGATGTTATTGTTTTCTAGTAAATTAATGTTTATATCCCCAACAAGTATATGCTTTTAAGGATATTTTGATAAAATTGTTTCTAAATCAATTAAGAAAATTTCGTTATTGCAAGATGGAGGCTTATAAAGAACGCTCACTTTTAAATTACATTCACCTACACCAACACATAGAAAGTCGATATTCTGATCTTGAGATGAATAGTCCAATTTTCTAGATTTAAGGGATTCTTAAACGTACATAGATACTCCACCTCCCTTACCTTTTCGGCAGCTATGAAATGAATTGTAGCCATCAATTTCATACAGAACTGCTTCATTGTCATTTAGCCAAGTTTCTGTCAGTGATAGTATATCACAGTTGTTGTTTGAGATATAGCAGCGTACCAAATCAATCTTATTCCTAATACTTCTTATGTTTGTGTAGATTACCTGTAACTTGTTTTTTTCTAATTCCTATTTCGTAAGATCATCTTCACCCTCCCCAACCATTATCTTGGATTTTTCATCTTTTCTTAACAGAATATTTCCCTCGCTGATCCAAAGGTATTTAAATTGGTTATCCTTTTTGAAGGATTTGGCAGCAGTGAACAACTTAAGATTGAATTTAGGCAAATCATTATTAACGAATACCTTATTATTTTCACGAAATCCGAGGCTTTTAGTTTCCATATTAAATTTTTTCTTCGATTTCATAATTCTCTGTTTATCCTTCAAATCCTCGAACATTACTTTGATATGACAGTTTTTATTTTGGTTTCCTAATCGAACAAAGTTACCTTTAATCGGAGCGTCTAGTTGTTGACCAATTGTTTTTATAACCGTCGTAAGATTTTCAGTTTCTTCCATGGGTATTCCTTGAATAATAATGTTGTTTGCCAACTCTTTCTGCTCTCTTCTGTTAAGTTCGTGTTTAATTTGCTGCAACTCTGTTTCCAATTTTTTATTAATAACTTCTTGTTGTTTTAACTTTTCAAAAACTGGATCGAATTTTTTTTCCATACCAAACAGCCTTTCTTCCATTTTCGATAGTTTTTTCATAATATCTACTAAATTTATTTCTTGTTCGTTTTCAGAATCATTGCAAGTATTACAAATCCACTGATCCGCAGACTTACTTATTTGAAAATAGCCTTTCTGGGTGATACCCACGCAACCTCGATGTTTCCAAATATTGCACACGTCGCGCGTCGGTCGTTTGCAATTTGAGAATTCTGTTACTGGATCTTCGGATTCTTTGGTTTACAAAGCTCATTTATGTCCCTTCCTGACGTCAACGCAACTAGAAAAGCGGGTAAATTTTATTCCTCTGGCTCTTCGAGAGTAGTAATCAAGCTCTAATTTTTGAGAATTTTAAGGTAAAATTTATCTTTCCAGGTCCTATTTTTGACAAAAAATTTTAATATATTGCTGAATTTTCAATTTTGATATTGTGGGAAGTTTTTATCTATACTATATTTGAAACATATATCGTATCATTTTAACAAAAACCACATTTGTGGCAAATGATAACTATTTATTCGTAATCGGTTGTAAAATTTATCATGCAATAACTAGCGGTGTTTTAATTTGATGGCACATTTATTATTCAATAATTGTTTATTTTCAATTAGCTTTTGCTTGCCTTACATAGAAAAAGTTAAATTTAGACTATTGACGTAAGAATATTTAACTTTTTTGCCGTAGATGATTATTATTATCTATCTATACAAACGAAATAGATATTAAGAAAATGCATTATTGAACAAAAAAAAAAAAAATGTCAGCCGAAAAATTAAATACCTATTTGCATAATAATTGCAAACAATATGTTAATAAACTCTTATCTTTTTGTTTATCGAGTTTATGTTTTTTGTAAATAAACTATTCAGCATTCAATTTAAGCTCACCTTAAATCGTCATAATATAATAACTAATATCCAAAAAGTCACAATTCAAATTCACATAAGCCAAATCGAACAATTGTTTATTGAGACGTAAAAACGACCTCGTTCGTCAGCACATTTATTTTAACTGTTTTGTTTTTGTGTTAAAAGCGCTGCCGCCGCTGGCATACTGAACAACGCGAGGGGGCGAATTTTTGTGGTACTGGATGCTGGATTTGTATCGATCTTTCAAATCGCCGAGCTCCGATAGAATAGAGTCAATTGTTAAATAGAACATCAAATTTATTTGGATATCCTGGATTTGTAATTACTGTGCTATACTTAAACTTTGGTAAGTACAAGATACATTCTTACTACTTTACTGAAATTTGAGGATTTTCGCGACACTTAATCTGCGAAAATAGCTTGGAGCAAAAAAACATTTTCCGATTAGAGAAAGTTTTAGTGACAATCAAGAACCAGATAAATTTTAAAGTTTCACTGTTTTTCTAGTAAATCAAGAGCCACTAGAGCCAGTAATATTTAAAATTTGGGAATCATAATCGGCACTCAATTCTCTGGAAGGGGTCTGATTACCGGCACTCGATCCATTGGAAAATTGCAAAAATTGGAACCGTTTCCCAGTTTTCCATATACTGTAAAACTACTCTATAGAAGCAATCGAACCAATAATAACTACCGGCTCTCGATTCGTTGAAAAATTGCTCTAGTGGCAATCCAAGAACCGGCGGTAAATAGTCCAAATTAAGATTTTTACTGCATCTTGATTCCCTGGAAAAATGATCCAGTGATAGTGTCAATCAAGAACCGGCGGTAAATAATCCAAATTAAAATTTTTACTGCATCTTGATTCCCTGGAAAAATGATCCAGTGACAATCAAGAGCCGGATCATTATCAAAATTTGGCTGTCATTATAGTACAGTAGACTCGCGCTAGTGTGAACACACGCTTCTATGAACCTCCCAGTAGTATGAACAGCCAGAATGAATACATTATGTATTCTGTAGTGTGAACTTTTGAGAATCTCGGTAGTATGAACAATGCATTTGACCACGAATTTAATCGTTTTCTGTCTACTTGTTATTTTCATCGGTTGTTTCCGTCCAATTCTGAGGTTCCCTAAATGTTTTGAGACAAGAAATGCACAGATATGTTGAGTTACTGCACTCACTCTAATCTGGAATACACAAGTGGCAGCGAGTCAAGAGCACGTTCAAAAGTCTATAAGTTTTTAGTTCGTTGTTTGTTGGGGTTAATCAGTTTTGTGAAAATGGCGAAAAACAAAATTTTCTCTATAGGTCTGTTCTCACAAGAGTCTCTGACAGTTTGCAAACTGTCAGAATGCATCGCCGATGCATGTTTTCATTATAGTCCAGGAGGTGGCGACAAAAACATGCAAGAGTTTTCGCAAGGCGGATATTTTCAAAATAGGTCGTACTTTAGTGCTAGAATGCTAGTGTACAGTCAGCACTCACAGTTCCGGGACAGCTGGCTCTGGGACGCGGGCAAAGTTGTAATTTTAAGAAGCATCTAAACTGTTTTCTCAAAGCTCAAAATTTATAGAAATTTTGCACATTATCTGTTTGAAGGTCACAGATAACGTATGTAAATCTTCAGACGTCTAGTTCGTTGCAAAAAGGGGGTCAGACGTCCTCAAAGTTTTTATTTTATGGCATTTTCTTCAAATATATTTGTCAAATACCTGCAAAAATATATTCTGACAGGACACCGAAGAAAATGCCATGAAATAAAAACTTTGAGGACGTCTGACCCCCTTTTTGCAACGAACTAGACGTCTGAAGATTTACATACGTTATTTGTGACCTTCAAACAGATAATGTGCAAAATTTCTATAAATGTTGAGCTTTGAGAAAATAGTTTAGATGCTTCTTAAAATTACAACTTTGCCCGCGTCCCAGAGCCAGCTGTCCCGGAACTGTGAGTGCTGACTGTACACTAGCATTCTAACACTAAAGTACGACCTATTTTGAAAATATCCGCCTTGCGAAAACTCTTGCATGTTTTTGATGCCAGCTCCCCAACTATTAATGTCGTTCCAAGATAAATCAGTAACTTAGCTGAGGTATTGCTTCTGATAGTTTCGCAACTAGGGACTTTTGTGAGAACAGACCGCATGAGAAGTCAAAAATTCTAGCAGCAAGTATCTATTGTATTAATTTTTCTTGAATTTTAAGTTTAGAGAACGTTGCTGACAATATTTTGCAGTTTTGGGTAGACCTTCGATGGTGTGAACATCTCGATAATATGAACACGTCCGGTTTTTTTGTGTTCACACTAGCGCGAGTCTACTGTATTTCTTCATTAATATTTTTGGGACTCTCTGGAAAATTGCAAAAGTTGGAACCAGGTTCTTCATTCACTGGATCAATCGAACCCTTTATTATTAGTTTATTTGATTCGTCAATTATTTCCAGTGAATTTGAACTCCGCTTAATGTTTTCTTAATAGATTCAGGAATAGATATCCTCTATACTTATAATAAATAAGCACGACGAGCCACATTGATGAGATCTGATAGATCGAAACGCGTCTATGGATGGAAAAGCGAAGAAAATTAATCCAATATCTTATAATAAGCTATAAGTGCTATAAGTAAAGTGTTTTTTTTTTAAGATAAAAGTCAAAATGACATTATGTTAGCAATACAATGTAAATTTGTCAATGCTTTCAATTTTTTTATGTAGAAAAGGCTTGTGTTGCCAACATATAGTTACTAAATTTTTGACTTGGGGAATTATCTTTAAAAAAAAAAAAACAGATTTTATAGAGGATAACATTTTTATATTTCTATAACCTTTAAATACCTACCATTCAAATTATGAAAAACTCATGGTCTCATGCCACCCCTTCTCTATCAACAACACGAAACCCCTGTCTGCCCTACCTACACACCCTTATTTTTAAATGGGCGAGTCGTTTAGCCATCGAGTTCCGAGTGGTTAGTGTTTATCTAGAAACTATAGTGTTCTCATGATAATATTACTATGTTATTAAACAAATAATATTACATTTACAAAATTATTTTACCCAAAATCTCTAATAATAGTATATTAGAATCCGAGATGGGAAATGCTTCATTGTTGGTCGAGAGGTTACATAGTTTATCGAGACGCCTAGCGTCAAGATAAACTGAACCTCGAGACAGCAATGAAATTTCCCGTCGAGGTTTGTATACTATTTTATTTTTAAACATAATTTCTAGAAAAAAAAAATTCGTGAGAACCAAATAAGGTCGGGAAATGAGGACGGGAAGTACTTCTGTTATATACGTATAGGCAACCAACTTAGCAACCAATTAAGCAACCGCCTATCAGCGCCGTCTACTTCCGGAAAGGAACAAAGTATGAAGCTCCATGACACAGCGACTGGAAGAACCAGTCCACTAGAGAACAGCCCAAAGACAAGCCACGCGCCTCATCCAAAGTACCCTGTAATATAAGCCCGACAATAATCTTAACCATGATATTTTTAATACAACACTCATTATCGTTCGTGACTAGTTTTATTGATAACAGAAAGAACCCCTAAACACCACAACTGGCGACGAGATCGGTGTTTTAAATCGGTAAAACCGCGACGTGAGTGATCAAGTACAAAATGGCTACCACGACGTTTGCAGAATTCGACGAAAAATCTGATAACTGGACGATATACCAAGAACGGCTCGAGCAGCATTTTACGGCAAATGCCATCAAAGAAGAAAATATTAAAATTGCGACGCTTTTAAGTGTGATTGGCGTCCAAACTTACAAACTGTTGCGTAATCTGTGCCATCCCGAATTACCGAAGTCAAAGTCGTTCCAGGCTCTTGTTAATCTGCTGAACAAGCAATATGGTCCCCAAATAAATGTATGGAGAGAGAGAAGAAGGTTTTATGAGTCGAGGCAGGAAAATGGTGAAAACGTGGCCGATTACTATGCAAGAATTAGAAGCCTAGCAATAAATTGCGATTTTCAAAATGACCTGAACAATGTCCTGAGAGATAAGTTCGTATGTGGTTTGCAAAAAGGTTCAATATTGGGTAGAATCTGCGAAGAAAAGTGTTCTAAAGCGTTGGAAGAACTCGTTACCTTGGCGATGCAGCGAGAAAATTGCGAAAATGAAGAAAATTCAGCAAATCCGCGTGTAAATTACGTCATGGGTGAACAAAGAAATTCCAAATTCCCGCTAAATCAAAATGGACGACATGGCAGCAACCATGGTAAAGAATCCGCCCACTACCAAAATGTCAACGAGCAAGGACGATGGAATGGAAGTGGAAGTGGACATCGACAGCGAGTGACAGATCGAGGCCAACATGGCGGCTGAAATCGTTCTAGATCAAGAGCACAAACTAAACATCATTCGTATCAGCGGCCATCTTGAAAATCCGGCATGCGCGTGACGTCACAGCAATTGTGAACAAATTTAGCCGATTGAGCAATCCTGTAGAGTTTACGATTCTTGGTTCTAGATCAGCGTCGACAAGAAGAAATGGAAACCAGGGTCAAAAATGCAGGTGCTGTGGAAAAAGTCATTCACCCCCATGCAAGTACAGGACGTACCAATGTAGTAAATGTAAAAAAATGGGTCATCTGGCCAAGGTTTGCACAACAAACACAGGTTTTAATTTTGTAAACAAAGCAAACAATGAGTATGTACAAAATTTTAATAATTATTATTCTGACTCTGAATGTGGAGAATACGATGATGAGCAGGAAACTACAGCAGCAACAATGTTTGGAATTTTTGACAAAGATTTTAAAAATAATCCATTTAATGTACCTAAACATAAAAATTGATAATAAACAACATGTTTTTATGATCGATTCAGGAGCCCAAATTTCTGGACTTAATAAAAAATATTATGAAAAACATTTTGCTAATAAATATAAATTAATTAAAGATAACATAATGCTGTGTAGTTATAATGGAGGATTGTTTTCTCCTAGTGGATACTTTGTAGCATAGACAATAAAAAATAAAAAGACCTTCAAAAGTATAGCCGAAATAGGTTATACTATTACTGCGCATCCGGTTGCGCATAGCGCATTGCGGAATTTTTGGAAAGCTAGAGACTTAGGAAAGATCAGTCCGATCATTCGATTCTGTTTCATCTTTCTCTGTCATAGCAATTCACAAGACAAGGACACCGTATGAGTTACAGAGCTTTCCTAGCTGTT